GCCTTGTTTCCCAAAATTTATTCTAATCTAGAGTTGAATACTGTTTCGGCCTGCCCGATTCCCTTCCTAAAATTCACCTCTTCTCGGTGAACTAAGGGCGCTTGTGGTAGCTTGTTGTAGCGGTTGTTTCCAGACTATAAGCTGCACTACCACAACCTAAGTGTAACTGGTAAGGTCTGAAAACCAAGGTGATGCCCAAACTGCAGTTTACTCCTGCCTAGATTATACCACCTTTTGAGAGGCAAGAATATGGGAAGTTCAATGGAAATGTGAGGCCTTCTCATATCATTGTTGTAGAATTTAACTACCAGTCATTGACTCAAACGGTCATCTTGTAGTCCATTAATAACAGCTTCTATCCGCACACTTCTTAATATCGATTATTGAGGCTTAGAAAATTAGGCTGAATAAACTTTACCAGGTGCACTGAGTGCTTTATATCTAGATTTTCCTTAAACTTCCTTTTATTCATTCTTGAAGTTTTTTTTGCTTTTTAAATTTACTGCTTTGAAGTTACCCTGTATTCAAAAAGTACTCTTCTATAGGATTTTAATTGTTTTCTAACTTTTATTATATATGGCATTTTGATGTTTCTTATTTCTCCCTTCAGGTGATATTCTTGTTTTTCTGACGGGTCAGGAGGAGATTGATTCTGGTTGCGAGATCCTTTACGAACGAATGAAGGCATTGGGAAATGACGTACCCGAGCTGATTATTTTACCTGTATACGCAGCGTTGCCTTCGGAAATGCAATCGCGAATTTTCGATTCCGCACCGCCTGGCTCTCGAAAGGTAATTATCGCTACCAACATTGCCGAGACCTCGCTTACCATAGATGGAATATATTACGTAATTGATCCGGGCTTTGTCAAGCAAAAGGTTTACAGCAGCAAGTCGGGCATGGATCAGCTGATTGTCACTCCAATTTCTCAAGTAAGTATCTTCTATTATCTATCTTTAACCACTATTCCTTAACACTAACTCGACATATTTTTCGGTCTTCTTAATTGCATCAACAGTAAAAAACACATGGATACAGCTTAACCAACCAACTCCATTCAACCACCATGTAAAAATACACTACCACTAGTTAAGTCGGTCTTGCTGCATTTTTTTAAAATTTTCATTTTGTGTATTAATATGAACGTAAGAGATAAGATACTTGGCCTTTTAAATGATACTAAGAATTAAATTGCCTTCATTCCAGTGGTATTTCAATAGAATTTTCATTAAATTTGTTTTACTGTAAATCGGGTTTTTAATGTGGTCTGGTTTGGTTTTCGCAACTTGATCATGTTGTCATATCGACTTAGTTGGACCAACCTTTTATGAAATCCTCTGCTATTGTAGTTATCATATTTCCAAGCGTTGAACCGTTAACTTGATACATTCTCAGACATTTCACTGGCATCGTCAGTGAATCTTGCCATTCTCAACACAAAGCTATAATTCGTAAAGAGAAAAGTGAAGGCAATATCTTAACCAACTTGTCTTCAATTGTCTCTGACTAGTTGTAGCTTGGTGTTGAGAATGGCAAAACTTACTCATGATGCCAGCAAAACATATGAGAAAGTCCACGATCCGACGCTTTGAAATATGATAACAACTATAGTAGAGGACTTCGGACTAGGTGCGCCCAACTAAGTCTCACTGATAACATGACCAAGTTGCGGAAGCGAAGTCAGACGACATCTATGCATTGAAATAAGACTGCAACCAAAAGAGGCCACAACATCTTCGTCTTCATATATACTTTTAAATCGAGTTTTACGTTTCTTAGAAAGGCTCTATTTTACCTTTCAGCTTTATCTTTTATATATTGCATCAAACTGGCAAATACTCGGCTCTTTTTAAGACTCATTATGCTAATATGTCTAGTTAATATCACCTTTTAATTTTTGTAATTTTCGAGTTTCCCAATAGTTTATATCTATTTATATATATCCACTCTGGATGAGAATACCTTTTAGGAAGCAAGGCTATGTAAAATTAAGTGGAAATGTAAGCAC